GAGTTTTTGCGGGAAATTGGGCGAGTTTTCAAACCCCCGTCCAAACTATGGTGGAACCATTCGCAGATCCTCTAAGACCAAACGATAGCAAGCGGAAGAACCCTTCTCGAGGTCTATGCCCATGGATTTATATCTTTTCGGGGGGGGGTTACACCCAGAAGGGGCGGCTTCATTTGGAGAGCCCATCGCTATAAACTCTCAAGCATCCAAAACCACGTACAGGATTGAAGAGGTGGACAGTGGACATCTCCAACTGTTCAAGGTTGGGGCTATCCCCTACGAAAGTGACGCTACAACAAGCAAAAACTCAATGAAAGTTGGCTGCTTAGTTCAATGGAGCCCAACGAGAATGCCCCCCAAAAGGATCCATTCCTCCGTGATAGCTTCCCGCAGCTCATGGCAAACGGGCGCGTCCTTTCTGCGGGTCCCTTTTTTGGGTTTTTTTTTTGAAGGGAAGAAAAAAACGGAAGCCGTTTCGGCCTCCTTTTCAGCCTTCCTTTCTTGGAAGCGGCTCTTCGGGTTCGGCTCTCCCGGGTAAGGTGGATCCGGCCGACGCCTGGTGGCCCCGCTCCGCGAGCTCGTGGACCTAGCGACCACGTCGAGCCCGAGCCGGAGTCGGAGTCGCCGGCCGCGGGTTGAAACCCAGTCAAGGTACGTGTTCACCAGTCAAGCGGAAAAACATCTCGAAGTTGCCCTTGAAAAAAAGCTCGGCCGAATCTCGAGTTTGAAGGCAAGCTGCTTCTTGATCGCGAACCTAGCCGCGATCTTAAGCAGCTTGCCTGTATTAGAAACAAACTCATGATAAAAACTCAACCAGGAACCACCGGGGTGGTTCCTAACCCAACCGACATGTTCGAAGAGGAAAAAAATGCCCGCGGGTCAATCTAGTCGGACCGTCCGAGAGGGGGCCGCCCTCCCCTCGCGACCTGGAGGCACGGATATGCCACTCCTTTTGCATCCCTTGAAGGGAAGAAGAGTGCGGTTTCTCCAAAAGGAATCCCTAGGTCCTCCAGTAGAGAGGTTAGAATAAGGGTACCGTTTCTTTTTTCTGTAGTCTATTTTAGTAATTAGGGTCCCGAACCCTCCCCCAAAAAAGGGGAGAGAAGGGCACTGGGGGAGCTAGATCCTGCTCTTGTAAGAATGCCATGTGTTTTCCCCGGAGAGAACGACCCCGGCATACCATGGGAGACCACGTTGAAAAGAAAGGAACTGCCTGGTGGCCAAAAACAGCGTAACTGGAGCCTTAGGCAAGCGTTAGGCCTTGACCCAGCGTTCGACTCTTTGGATAGAGAAAGAAGCACCATCCCAAAGCCCCCAGGCTGTCCCAGACCCTCGCCTGGCCAGACAAAGGGACACCTCCTTGGTAATTCTCCAGGGGTTGATTCCTTTTCCATTCTTTTCAGTCATCGTCCTTTTCAAAAACCCGGCCATTTCCTCAGGAATTTTGGTTGTTTTCTAGAAAGAAGGATCCCTGGAAAGAATGGAAATGGAAGTTACCCCTAGAAAGTAGGCTAGAGGGAAACCGGAATTTGGATTGGGATTGGAACTGATCCTGGGTCAAATGGGGCTTCAGCCCCCGAACACATCCACCAGGTACTCCAAACCCCCCGGTTGGCAGTTTCTCAAATGGTTGACCCCCTTCTGATACTTAACAGCAAACCAAAAAGAAACCAACAAAT